GCGTACATAATGGAAACAAAAAGAAAATTACCTTGTTAGTCTATTATTTTCGGCTCCGCGAGAGAAAGAAAACATTTTTTAGGTATATATAAGCAAATCATCTAGGAGGGAACCCTAGTCCAAGTTCCCCATCACGATCACAGCAACCAGCTGGGCCCATTGAACCATTGCCTGGCCGACCTCGGGAGGCCCGTCGCAGAAGGCATCGTCCCACAGCTTTTTAGTGAGGAAGGTGCGCAGGATAGCGGGAAGGGGAGGAAATAATTTTGTGGAACACTCCACCCTGACGTGAAACACTTTTGAGGAGCTGCCACAGACAGGGCAACAGTCTGCGCAGGGCAGAATTTATGCAAGGAAAGGAGGCTGGGGAACGCATGCATTTGGAGTTGGCGGACCCCTTCCGCTCGCGAGAACGACGGTGACGGCGGGTGCATGCGTCTAGCTCTGGTGTAATATGCCAATACGTCTCGGTATGTGAGTGGAGGGCCTACTTGATCAGGACTGTCGGCCTCGCCACACCGGGCGGCTCGGTAAGTTTTCGAGCAACCGCGTGAGCGCGATGATTACGAGGCTATCTGATTGCTTGACTGCTTGCGTGTGTAGCATTTTCATGCGTTATTTGTGATTTGTTTTTTACTGAAATTCCATTGGATGATTTTAGATACATAACCAACTAACGTGATGATCCTGCCACCTGGTTCTTGGCCAACCCCTTTGTGGGAAAGTGACAGCAATATGAGAGGATCATCATCATCAAAGCACGAAGAGCGTGGTTTAACGTTCCACCAGCGAGCTCCCGGTGTGCTCCGCCAACCAGGTGAGTGTGTTGCAAAACTCGCACGTACTGGCGCCTTCACATCAGCTTCGTGAGTATAAGCACGCACATTAAATCACACGCTTTTTTTTTTCTCAAACGAGCTTCGTGATGCTTTAGTCAAAGCGGACAGAACGTGCACCGTGCTGGCTGTAGTGTAAGTCGTTTACTGGAGACGGTAACACCGGCATAGCATGGTCGTCTGAGGAGCCCGTGATAAGACGACCAGTCGACGCTGAACCCGGTAACAACTCCCTTTATTCAGCTTCGCATAAATGGCATTACAGCTATAAGACGGGGCGCCACCCACTGACACAATAGTAGTGACCTCTAAACTACATCTTCCCCCTTTTACACGTTCAGCAGTTATAAGTTCAGAGGCCGGTGGGGCAACGCGTCGGACCGTACGCGCGCGCACAAAATTGTCGTGACTACCAACACCATCATCACTCTTACCCCCCTCACCTACAGCACCAACATGATCACCAGCCTGTCCCGAGTCGCTCGTCGTTACCAAGGTACTTAGAAGACCTTGATATGGGTGAGCTACCTGCAGTGGTAGCTCGGTTTCTTCTGACCAAGCTTGTGGTGGCAATGATGCTGGAACGAAGGGGACAAGGCGACACGTGTTGCGCTGCAACATAGCACCTTGTCTCGTCTGTATTATATAGCTCCTGGGCCACTGTGCTACACTTAACGCTATCCTCTTGACGCTTTCTGGCCGTACCCAGACTTGCGATCCTACGGGGAGCTAATTTTATGTCTGGCCCAATGATGCCCATTGTAGCCCTTTTCGTTTTTTTCTGGTAGGATATGCTACTCAACGTTACTGCACCTTTCGGCGGCCCGTTTCGATGCAGCAATTCTTGCTTCTTGGGGACTTTGGTCCTCAGCCGACGACGCATCAAGAGCTGAGCCGGACTAAAAGCATTGGCACCTGGGGTATCCCTGTACCACAAAAAACCACGTGAGGGTCCTCTGTCTCGTTGAAGGGGTTTTCCACTGTCATGACGCATCTCTCCACCTCCTCATTCAACTGGGCCTAGTTGGGATGGCTTGTCGTATGAGAACAAATCGATACGATGAAACAAAGGTTGCAAAATCTCGTGACGAGAATGGTGGGCCATTGTCAGACCAAAGTGCCTCTGGTATTCAATGGCGAGTGAATATGCTTTTTTGAACATACACAAAACCTTTGTGGTCTTGCTCCTCAAGACTATCTCTTCTAGGTACCTTGAGTAATAATCAACTACCAGGAGAAGAATGGGTCCACCGAAGTGAATAGCCCTATACTGAGAAGTTGTCATGAATGATCCAAGAGAGGATGTTGGTACAAATGCCTCAGCGAAGTCGCTCGCAGTTCGCGACCAGAGAAGTAGTGTCATTGGAGAAACCGGGTCACAAAACTCAATCTCGCGTCTAGGCTTTGCTTCTGTTACAGCATTGATGTCCCTCATGCAGGAGTGCCAAGACTGTAGACCGAAGTTACGATAGGATCACAAACAGGTACCTTTTATCAGCACGCCATCATAAACCAAAAGTTATTCGATCAGCCAGCAAGACTTAGAGATGTGCTACAGTAGCTTCTTTTTTGGAGGCCACGCCCGCTGACAGAAGCAGATCAATGTTGTGCATTCGCCATCCGAAGTTTGGGCTCGACGCCCCTCTTGCACATTTAGGTATAAAACTTAGCGCCCAAACACAGAGGGACAAACAGACACAAAACACAGGGTTCCATAAGATCACGGTGTGTGCGAGCCACAGTTCCTGTGGCAAGAAGCTGAACAGCATCCGCGGGATATTCGTTCGAGTTGTTGCGAGAGAGAGTATTTGCTGTAGCCAAAAGCACCTGTAGTCAAAATTCGCTGTAGCCAAAAGTACCTTAAAGCGGCCCTGAAACACTTTTTCAAGTAACCGTGGAATGAATTCACTGGAAGAGATTATTGCCTTACGAATTCCACGTCGTAAAAATCCGTCCATCACGAGTGGAGTTACTAAGGCTTGTCGCATGCTGCAATTGCATTATCTCTTATTTGGTTCCGAAGAAAGCGCTGAGAGCTAAGCAGGGAGGGGTAGCAGGGGCAAATAAACTACGTCACCTGCGCCTAGTGACCTTAAGCACTTTTTTTTTTCTTCGAATGCAAGGCTTTTTTAGTGTGATCGCGTGCGCACACGTGGATAGGTCGCGCCTCCTACGGCGATCTCTGTAATGACCGAGCGTTCAAATCAGCCAATAGCTGATAGATGGGCTTGCTACGTGTGATTTTTGTGCGTCTTGTGTCATTTGTCGAAATAAGACAATGATTTTTAGCTGACTGATATTTTATTGTGAATTCCAGGCCACGTGCTGCGCTATAATATTTGGTTTGTGTGTTGTCGGCATAGTCTACTATCGATTGGCAGCGTTTTTTGTCCATGCTCAAAATGTGTTGCAGGGCCCTTATGAGTTGGTAAAGCGTTGATTTTTTCCACCCCCTCTGTATTCTTAGAGGCAACATGTCAAGCTCCATCTTCCAAAAAGGGAGACGAGGGTTAGGTTATATGCCTCGATATCGAGTGATTTGACTGACTTGATTGATATGTGAGGTTTAACGTCCCAAAACCACCATATGATTATGAGAGACGCCGTAGTGGAGAGCTCCCAAAATTTTGATCTACTGGGGTTCTTTACCATTCACCCGAATCTGAGCACACGGGCCTACAACATTTCCGCCTACATCGGAAATGATCCGCCACAGCCAGGATTCGATCCAGCGACCCACGGGTCAAGAACCAAGTACCTTAGCCCCTAGACCACCGCGGCAGAGCCCTAGCGTAAAAATCGCGACATGCATGTCATGTAAGTCAAGACTACAAGCCATACTTATGATGCACTCGCAGCCGTTTCGCGAGCTTCACATATACGAAATTTGGTATTGCGTGGCGCGAATGAATTACAATGGTATGTAACTGGTGCAATAAATAATAATGCGATGCATGTCATGTAACAACATGGCTACCTGCCCCACTCATGATAAGCTCGCGGCCGTTTCGCTGGCTTCGCATGTGCTAAATTTAGTAATACGTGACGCGAGCGGACGACGATAGTAAATTACACGTCTAAACATGATAATCAAGAAATGCGTGTCATGTAACAACATGAGTACATGCCACACTCATGATGCGCTCGTGGCCATTTCACTAGCTTCACATATACCAAATTCAGTGTTACGTCACGTCAATGATGAAGGTCATTGATTGACGTGACGTAATCATTGATTGACGTGACGTAACACTGAATTGGGTATATGTGAAGCTAGGGAAATGGCCACGAGCGCAAGCATAATAATCACTGGTGCAAACATAATCACAACATGCGTGTCATCTAAAACAAGACTACAAGCAACGCTCATAGCGCTATCTTGGCCGTATCACTAGCACCACATAGATCAAATTTGGTATCACGTGATGTGAATAGATGAAGGTAAACGACATGTTGAAACATGACATGCGTGTAATGTAAAACATGATTACATGCTACAGTCGTATCACGCTTGCGGCCGTTTCCCTAGTTGCACATATGTCTGATTCAGTATTACGTCACCCGAATAGACGACGAAGGTAAATGACATGTCCAAACATGATAACCGTGATATGGAAGTCATGTACGGCGTAATTTACGTCCGTCTCGTAACGTTCTGCTGATATTAAAGTGACATCTTCCTCAGTCGTGGTTCGCATACCATCGATTGTCACTGTACGTGGGATCTGCCAACTTTTTCAATTCCGCTTATTTCACTGCCTATTTCTGTTGAATTATCGCTCGTACAGGAAAGTTTCGATGTCGCTGTTACTATCCGATGAGCTTGAGCTTTCCGACTCGGAGTCGTTGCTGATTTTCGCAGTCGTTGATGCCATTCAGGTTGCGTAGTTAGCGCGAAAACCTGCGACAGCGGTGAACAAACGTGTTAAAGGGAGTACGTCACGCCGAGTTACCATCCACTCCACCGATTTCGGTGGAGCAACACTTCTTGCTGCTCAGAGTCACTGCCACTCTAATTCCACTTCGACTCAATCATTGGAACTGTTGACTCCCACCGTCACTCTGCCATTGAACACATTCGCTCCAAAAAGAGTGGGAAAACTTGCTCCGAATCCACCATTGGAATTTGACATCACTATCACGCTCTTTCCTCAGCAGGTCGGTGGCGGAATGGCGACGGCGCCAGCAATCGGCATCGACCTGGGCACGACGTACTCGTGCGCGGGCGTCTACCGCCAGGGAAAAGTGGAGATCATCGCGAACGAACAGGGAAACCGCACGACGCCCAGCTACGTGGCCTTCACCGACCACGAGCGCCTCATCGGCGAAGCCGCGAAGAACCAGGCGGCGCTCAATCCCACGAACACGGTGTTTGGTAAGCGCTCATCCGTTGTCAATGCATTATTTTACAGCAGAGCTGTCGACATCTTTGTTCGCGAAACGTGACCCAAATACTATCGCGATAATGAACCCGAACACGCTCCCTTCTTCGTTCCCAGAACACGGACTCCCATTTGCCCGACGTCAGCTGACCGATTTTGCGCTCCGCTGCCCGTTCCGCGCAAAAGCACAGCGTTGCCGGAGCGCAACGCGCATTTGCGGTTTTAGCCAAACGTCGTTCGGTCAACGCAATCACGACGCCACCAGTGCATGAACGTTGTTGTAAAGGAAATTGTTCTTATCTTGCAACAAGGTAGAAAATTGTGTTTGAAAAGAGTGTGGAATCATTTACTGTTTGACGCGTGGGGATTTCTTTGTTTTTGTCACCTTCACGTAGAGCTCGACTACAATCAAAGCCTTCAAGGTAGCCCGAACGCGTTTCAAACGCCCTGCCATGAGGCAGCGCGTTCACTGCGTTGTCTTGTGGCGAATCAAACTAAAGAGAGTTTCTGAATGACTCTTCGGTTAAAAACAAAATTATTACTAGTATATATGTTAGAAATCACTTACCAGCGATGGTTTGCAGAGTCTTTTAGACAAAAGTACCAAAGCAGCAGCTGGAGACGCCCCTTTACCGCCCGAAGTGTCAGAGGTCAATGTATCGCTGCGTGAAATGTCACACACATGCCCGGATTCTCGAAGGCATTGACTGCGACGACTTCTCGGAGGAGGCACAGATTCTTGTGTGTCTTGAAGTGCCGTCTGTGCTTGCGTGTTTGCCGAACAACCACTGCGTTTCCCGAGCAGCGCGGACTCGCAGCACTGGAGGCTGCCATTTTGGTCGTTTCTACCTCATGATCCTTCGTCACATGATCCTTCGCTCGCTATACGACGATCCGTTCACACGCTCAGCGCCTGGCCGTCTAGCGCATGCGCAGTGGTGCAACCTACGAATGGCTGAGCGGAGCGGGAGGCAAAATACGATCGGCTAAAAGTGCATATATGATGGCGAGAACGTGTACGAAGGGAAGCAAATAAACAAAGAGAATGAGAGAAATGGATAGAAAAAAGGGAACAAAACGGAAAATATAGAAAAAAAAGGCAGGGAAACAGCAAGCATGCACATTATTTTGCATCAAAGTATAGGGAAACTGGGTTAGGGGAAGAGAAATCGGAACGTGGAAGGGTAAACCATAGCATGATCTTGTATACAACATCGCTATATATAGTACTATAATACTATCTATAGTATAATAAAGGGAACTTTTCCGAGTGGCGGTGGCGCTGTGCATTGCGGGTAGTCCGCCATTTTGAAGGCATAACCTCCATCTGAGCCAGGAAATGAGCGTGCAGCAGCTCAGTGTGAACACGGACGTACCGGCGTTACCGCGGCTGTTGCTCGTATGAGAAGTACCGAGCTGTACCTACAAAATCATCAAGACCAGCATGTACGTAGCGACGCTCTCTCTGAAAGACCGCTAGATATACGACGAGAGAATCTTACTATGTGCAGTGTTCACTCTGCGAGCAGCCGACAGCACAGTAGACGTGAATTTGAAGCCGCGCGTCAATGAATCGGATATTTGCGAATTACTGCTCTTGCGAACGAGTTTTGTTACGCGGCAGCAGCAGAAAGAAGAGAACGCTCTGGACGGCCATAACTTCGTGACAAGCGAATGGGTACGCGTAACATGAGTGAAGGAAGTTGCCGACAATAGTGAGATTGTCATGTCACAGGTAAGCTTGTAAGAACATTTTAACGCCGAGTAGATTTTCATTTTTTTCGCATTCTTTGATATGGGGGCCTGTATGCAGGCTCTGAACAAGCCTACCGTCAAAGTGCGGTTCCCGGTGAAGGATGACGGGGCCATTCTGACGTGCACTGCATTTTCATGGCCGGAAATTGTGAGGCGTGCTCGCACGTCACAGTGCCCCTTCTGCTACCTCGTGGAGTAAGGCATAGATGACGAAAACTTCTGGCTCCTTCCTGCCATGGAAAAAAAATGGCAGCATATCCACAGAGTGAATGATGGATAGTGGGGCGAAGCATCCGTCCATCCATTCGTTCTTGCTTCCGTCCATCCATGCGTGTGTCTGTGTGGCCGCCCGTGCGTCCATCTGCCTGTCCGTGCATCCGTCCCTGCGTTCATCCATGCATCCGCCCCTGCGTCCGTCCATGCGTCCATCCGTGCGTCCGCCTATGCATCTGCCTGTGTGTCCGTTCGTCCACCTATTCAACACTCCAAGTACTATCATCTCGCATCTTTTCATCATATATTCGTAATATAGAAGCACCGCCATCCAGCGGACATTCCTAGGGCTGAACGAGAGGAGACACACGCACACTTTCTTACGGCTTCCGCTTCGTGTCTACTTCCTACCTTTAACCCTCGAGTGCATGGTATATACTAGTTCACTGTATTCATGGCACTGCGGCCCAACGCTCGCTAAACCTTTCTAAAACCTAGGAGGTTATGCCCAGCGAGTATAACGTAGCTAAACCTTTCTAAAACCTAGAAGGTTACGCCCAGCGAGTACAACGTAGCAACCCTTTCTTGTCTTCTGTGCGTCGTTAAACAATAAAAATTCGCAGCATGCGCGTTAACTAAAAGCCAAATTCTCCTGTCTCTCATTCCCCCTTAGCAGCCATTGGCATGCACATTGAGCACTATCTTTTATTGTTCAACAACGCATAGAAGAAATCTCTCACCGGCACCACCTTGGAGGTCAAAATGTTATACTTGTTACACACTACTACAACGGCTACGAGGGACAAACGGGTGCCGCTATAAGGAGCTTCGCCCCTAAAAAAGTGAAGTGCGGCCTGCTGCTGAAATGAACTTGTCATCATCGGCGACGCAGAACAGAGGCGTCGAAACTGCAACCAGCGCAACTTATGCACCGCAGCCTTGTCTGCGACTAACGGCACCAGCCCCAATGACGTATGAAATGAACCTTTCCATAAGGAGCCTACATGATCACTTTTTTGAGGGTGGAGACATGCCCTAAAAAAAAACTTGGCCAAAATCAGCGGGCAATCGAGCACGCTGTTGCCAGCTCCCGAAAATTTCAACATAATGTTTTTGTGCGCCACCATTTTGGGGCCAACCGTATCATCCTCCCTTGCTAGTCGTGGTTTCATTTCGCTACTCGTGATCTGCAAGATTATTAATGACTTGCAGTGTATTTTCAAAGGCTTTTTTCTAGGCTATAACCTAAGCCTTCGATACATCAGGCGTGGCCCCGCCACAGTGGTCTAGTGGCTAAGGTACTCGGCTGCTGACCCGCAGGTCGCGGGATCGCATCCCGGCTGCGGCTGCTGCATTTCCGATGGAGGCGGAAATGTTGTAGGTCCGTTTGCTCAGATTTGGGTGCACGTTAAAGAACCGTTAAATTATGACAGGTAGTTAGCCACTATCCCTCAAGAGGAAGGTATACAACAGCTGTATCTTGCCGGTACTTGGCTACGGAGCAGAAACCTGGAGACTTACAAAGAGGGTTCAGCTAAATTGAGGACGACACAGCGAGCAATGGAAAGAAAAATGGTAGGTGTAACCTTAAGAAACGAGAAGAAAGCAGAGTGGATTAGGGAACAAATGGGGGTTAAGGATATCATAGTTGAAATCAAGAAGAGGAAATGGACATGGGCCGGGCATGCAGCGCGTAGACAAGATAACCGCTGGTCATTAAGGGTAACTAACTGGATTCCCAGAGAAGGCAAGCGGGTTAGGGGGAGACAGAAGATTAGGTGGGCAGATGAGATTAGAAAGTTTGCGTGTATAAATTGGCAGCAGCAAGCACAGGACCGGGTTAACTGGCGGAACATGGGAGAGGCATTTGTCCTGCAGTGGACGTAGTCAGGCTGATGATGATGATGATGAAATAACCCGAAGTGGTCGAAATCTCCGGAGCCCTCCACTACGGCGTCTCTCATAATCATGCCGTGGTTTTGAGACGTTAAACCCTACATATCCATCAATCAATGATACATCAGGCGTGAAATGTTGGTGGCGTCCAGCGTCGGCGTCTGCACGAAGATTAGATGCATCAAGTGCGAAATGTAACCACTGGTGGCGTCGTCCAGCGTCGGCGTCAACAGGTTACCAACGCCTCCCGTTACATGCCTCAAGCTCAAAACGTAACCATCCAGCGTCGTAGTCAACGTGTTAAATGCATCAAGCATGAAACTTAACTATCGGAGGCGTCGTCCAGCGTCGGCGTCAACACTAATCCTTAAGTGCATCAGGCACGAAATGTAGCCGTCGGGGACGTCCAGCATCGGCGTCAACACGTTACATGCAAAGCTCGAAACGTAACCGTGGGCGGTGTCCAGCGTCACCGTCAACACGTTACATGCATCAAGCGTGAAACGTAACCGTTGGTGGCGTCGTCCAGCGTCGGGGTCAACACGAACCCCTAGATGCAACAAGCGCGATATGTAATGGCCAGTGGCGTCCAGCATCGGCGTTAACACAATGGCAGGTGCAGTCGCTGCCAGTGTTGTGTACTTGGGAACTACGCTCATTTTCACTGATCCTGCACGTGTTAAAACGCTTGCGCTTCTCTCGACATTTGCTCCACCGTGATTTCCTTGCAAAAAAAAAAAAAAACCAACCTCCTTGAGCCCTCAGCTTGATCGCGCTATGTCGTAATGCAATAAAAAGTGTCGGTGTTGAAGCCATGCTCGTCGAAACAAGAGCTGTAATTCAAAGCTGTTACTGAAGGACCTCATGCTGATTTTTACGACTGTTTCGTAATAACGAGACATGCTTTTCTGTTCGTCTTGCCTCTGCAAAAGAAGGCGTCCCATTTGCGAAATCGCGATAGTGCCTCTCTAACACGATAGATTTATTTTTGCTTTGAAACATGATTGCTGGTTTGCTGTCAATAAATATGGTTCCCTGTGCTCACTTCTGAAATTTTTTTACTGATACTAGATGCCAATGAATGCCTATCGATTTCATGTAACCATTGTACGCACAGCTACTGAGAGTGCTTTGGTGTGCTGCTGAGCGTATTGATGCGCCTAAAACAAGCGGGCGAAAGATAACGAGACACCCGTAGCCCTGCACGAGGCCCGGCCTCTTTCATCGACAAATAAGTGTAGCCTTAGCACAAAGAACCAGCCGACGCAACCGCGTAGGCGCATACGCAAGCGGTACAGAATAAAAAAAGGCGACCATTTTCTTCCTACCTAAAAATAAAATAAACCAATAAACTTAGCTTTTCGCTTCCCGTTTACTCAGCGTCATCTCTTGGTTGCTCTCGGCAGTTCCATGGACCTCTGCTGCTTATCTTGCGTACTGTAGTCAAGGCTACAGTTTTCCTTCTGTAATTTTTTTCTTATTCTGTTCGTGCGCCTCACTATTGACCATTCTCTGTCTGATGAATGTGTATATGAATGGTTACGGTACAGATACTCATCACGTCAATAATTTACGCCATTAAAATTACTACGCCATGTTTTCTCAGCGAGAAATGCGCTTGCATTTCCTCAGGGTTCCCGTCATAAAGGCGAGGACAAATTTTTTTATTTTTAACTTGACAACGCACTTGCCGCTGATCTTAGCTCCAAAATGTGACAAAGATTTTATATACTCGTTGACGACTAGTTGCCTCTTTTGGGGTGTGACTCGGCAAGTGTTGCTGAAGATTCTAAATATGTTTTGCACTTGTTCAAAACTGCTTGTACCTTTTTTATGTCACCGATACACTTCTAAATGCCGGGAGCATTCGTTTTTTTTTTTTCATATGAACATCAGCTTTTGATAAAACCGCGTTATCTTGGGCTATAAACACCACGAAAATAAAAAAAAAAACATTATTCCTTGTAACTCAGTGCACCAAAAAATTGTAAAAAGGGGAAATGCGAATGTTTACCTAAAAACGCCCCGGGAAAATTCTGCCACATCAAGTGATTCGAGCCTTCTCTCAGTGAACAGCACGTTTATCATAGGCGCGTTACACTGATAAGTTCGTTGTTTCCGTAGCCGAGAAGCTGCTTCCGCGTCGAGCATGCCAAGCACACCTCAGGAGAGGGATGGAAGAAAATTTGTTGTAATTTCCTTATGTTAATAAGTTGGTCACACAACATCAAAAATATTGCCCAGAAAGCCAATGCCTAGGTTTCGTCTTTTGTGCTAGCCAAACTGTCTTCAGTGAGCAAAACTACAGACGCTAACTGCAAAAAAAAAAATGTAAAACACATCAAGCCATGTGATACATGCCTCGACGCCATAGATCTTGCTCATTTGCTCTGGCATTGGTCAGCGTTATGTAGTCACAAGGAAAATATTGAAAATGGTGGGGCGTCGCTGTGCGCAGTACTACATAAGAGTGACAATTATGGGCAGTTCAACAGGCCTGACAAGCGGCCGAAAGGCTAGGTCTTTCGGTCCTAACGTAGGATCGGCCCGCTTCGTGCTAGGACACTCGCACGACCTATTGGTCCTTAATAAAGCTGTTTCAGCCATAATCCATCAAGCTAGACGTCCAGTGGGCTCACGAAGTCGCAGTGATGCACTGATACGTATCACATGATAAGCGGGCCAATCAAACCCCCAAAGAAAATTTCGAAAGCCAAGCAATTGCTGCTGAATGGAAGTGGCGAGACCACACGTGGTAGTTGTCGAGGTTGCCCTGAAGACCACGTCTGTTTATGTAGGTGAGCCATTCCCGCAGGTGCCACTCTGACAGCTCCTTCACGTTATCGCACCCGTTCAGGCACACTTTTGGTATCTTGTAGGCACTGCAGTCATCCTTGTTACTTCAGATGCAGCTGTTGCAGCCAACGCCCACAGTGTACAATCGCGCCACCTCCGTGCGCAGTGACAGCTGTCGCGAACGCATTGCGGATAAGTAGCTCTGCTGCCTATGACTTCAAAATGGGGGACACGACCCTCACATTACATGGCACCGCTTCCCCCAGTGAGAGCTCCCGATAGGAAGAAATGGGCAAGATGGCGAAGAGGGAAAGAAAGAGGTCAGACGCCACCAGCTCAACTACTCCGTCAGTTTTTGCCCCATTGCATCGTAGCTTCCTCTTGTTCATGAATGCACTTTTGTAACTTTCGAATTTTATTATTCACCATAGATATATTAGTTATTCTATGTACGCTACCACTATATTGCCATCATTGATGTTATGCCATCAATCAAACAATGGAAGACGGATGATTTGCGTAGTGAGAAACCTTTGAAGGAAAGTACTTGCCTTCTTCGCGGTAGCAACTGCCCTGTTGAGAACAAGTGCACTTGTTGAAGCCGCTACTCCAGCGACACAACCTATTAGAATTCTGGCGTAATATAAAAGAGTTTCCTAACCACCGATTTTATATGCTGTGAGTGCTGTTTGTTTCAGTAATTCTATTGCAGAAAAAAAAAACAGAAAAAAGTGTGCACGCGTTTAGTACGTTGTTGAAAATAGGACAGACAGATATATTCCGACATGCGCACATTTTTCTCATTGGCGTTTTGTTTATTATGGGAGTACTTTCGGAGTAACCATCATATTTGTGACTAAATGATTTTTCGCTCATTAACAGAAAAATTAGTGGCGGCTACTGCAGTTTATTGGAAATAATATCGACTAGGTCTAATTCACATAACAGCATTCCCCTTTTTCTAATCGCGCTTTGTGATAACGGCACAACCCTGCATTGCTGATATATAAAAGTTTTGTAACAACATGTGATAGGAGAACAGAACGTAATCATAAAAAACAACAGATAAAAATAAAGCCGCCACGATTCTCCGTTTACCACTCCGTTCTAGTTACTTCAATTGATTGATATATGGGGTGTAACGTCCCAAAACCACCATATGATTATGAGAGACACCGTAGTGGAGGGCTCCGGAAATTTCTACCACCTGCGGTTCTTTAACGTGCACCCAAATCTGAGCACACGGGTCTACAACATTTCCGCCTCCATCGGAAATGCAGCCGCCGCCGCCGGGATTCAAACCCGTGACCTGCGGGTCAGCAGCCGAGTACCTTAGCCACTAGACCACCACGGCAGGGCTCTAGTTACTTCAAGTATCAAGAATCACAAACTCGCCCAATCAGAAATCTTGCATTCATAATGTGCAGGCCCATGCTAGAATTGACGAATATCCTAAATACTATAGTCTTTCCTGTGTTAATGTCGTGGCTCTTAAGTGGCTTTTATTCATCGCTAATCCCATTTGCTGCGTTCGTATATGTGTAACGTTATCAAGAAGTTTATTGCACCATAGTCACTGAGAGTACAATATTGTATAAGTATAGAAAGCCGAGCATCATGATACGCTCGAAGTATCGTGGTTTTAATAAGAAAGAACAAAAACATATTACTTCGTTTTTTCAAGTAAACGTGACGCCCAGTGACATACGGGCAAGTGATATCACTTATGAATTCTTGTACACACACACGACAGATGCGAAGCGGCTCATCGGACGAAATTTCGATGACCCTGCCCTGCAAAACGACATGAAGCACTGGCCCTTCAGGGTGATCGGCGAAGGGAACAAGCCACGGATTCAGGTCACGTTCCGCGGCCAAGTCAAGGTATTCTGCCCGGAGGAGATTTCATCCATGATCCTTTACAAGATGAAAGAGAGTGCAGAGGCCTACCTCGGCAAGCCCGTCACAAAGGCCGTCATAACCGTGCCGGCCTACTTCAACGACTCACAGAGGCAGGCAACCAAGGACGCCGGTGCAATTGCAGGCCTCGAGGTACTCCGCATTGTCAACGAACCAACGGCGGCTGCAATAGCCTACGGCCTCGACAAGGTTCGTTGCTCATTTTTAGGGACATACTCTGCGCGGCAACACCCACATGTATACTCTCCTAGGCTGCTCAAACTGAGCGTGAAAGTGTTAGTGTAGTATACATACTACAAAAGGGAAGTGGCCAGACCGAGCTTCGAAAAGTCAAGGCGATACAGGGTCAATCTGCTTCTGGCGCTGTGGTCGGTTGTCTGCAATTTGTCGTCATTTTAGGAGTTGTGTGTGTGGCTCCACCCCAGTGGTGCATGGGTAAAATGCCCGCTTCTCATTCAAAAGGCCTGGGTTCAAATCGCAGCTGTAGATGGCATGTTTTAACACGAAAGTGCTTTATGCTGGCGACGACCATGCCCCCGCTGACGCAATTTCGTCACGGGTGTGACGTAATAAAATTTTTACAAACAGATTGCGAAGAAAAATATGAGAAAAAAAATGGCAGATGCCACGTACAGTGGGAATCAATGATGTGCGAAGCACGAATGAGAAATGTTGATATGTTGCTTTGAAATCAGCACAACGTTACGAGGTGAAGGTAAATGATGCCGTACATAATTTCCATGTCGTGATTATCATGTTTGGATATGTCGTTTGCCTTCGTCATCTATTCACATCACGTGATCCCAAATTTAGTATATGTGGAGCTAGCGGAATGGCCGCCAGCACGCTATGAGCGTGGTATGTTGTCATGTGCTTACTTGACACGCGTGTCAGGATTATCATGTTTGCACCAGTCATATATTTCGCACCAATTGACGTCATACAACATCAAATTTGGTATACGTGGATCTAGCGAAACGGCCACGAGCGCATCACGAAGAGCCCAATATGCTTCAACATAGCAGTGGCGCGCGCGCACGCTGGGTACAGCGACGCTACGTAAGAGAACGCGGGCACTCTATTAGGGGCGAAGCTCCTTGTGGCGTGGCTTGGGCGTCCCTCGTAGTACGCAACCACCAGTGGCACATACCCGAAATAGGTATAACATTTGACCTCCAAGGTGGTGCCAGTGAGAGATATCTTCTGTGCGTTGTTTAACAATAAAAAATAGTGCTCAATGTACATGCCAATGGCTGCTAATGGGGAATGAGAGACAGGAGCATTCGGCTTTTAGTCAACGCGCACGCTGCGATCCCCATTAGCAGCCATTGATTGACATGTACATTAAGCGCTATCGGACAAAAAAGGGTTGCTACATTATACTCGTTGGGTGTAACCTCCTTAGTTTTAGAAAGGTTTAGCGAGCGTTGAGCCGCAGGGCCATGAATACAATGAACTAGTATATACTATGAATGAATTCGAGGTGGTTAAAGGGGGGAAGCAGATACGAAGCGCAAGCCGTAAGAAATTAAAAGCTGAATTCTCCTGTCTCTCATTTCACATTAGCAGCCACTGGCATGTACATTGAGCAGTACCTCACAGGAAATGGTTGCTACGTTATACTCGCTGGGCGTAACCTCCTTGGTTTTAGAAACGTTTAGCGAGCATTGGGCCTCAGTGCCATGAATACAGTGAACTAGTATATACCATGAACTCAAGGTGGTTGAAGGTGGGAAGTAGACCCGAAGCGCAAGCCGTAAGAAAGTGTGTGTGTGCCACCTCTCGTTTAGTCCTTGGAATGTCCGCTGCATGGCGGTGCTTCTAAATGGGGAATATATGATGAAAAGATGCGAGATGGTGGTACTTTGAGTGTTGAATAGATGGACGAACGGACACACAGACAGATGCATGGATGGACGCATGAACGGACGCAGGGGCGGATGCATGAACGAACGCAGGGACGGGCGCACGAACAGACGCATGGACGGTCACACAGACGGACACATGGACGGACGAATGCTTCGCCCCACTCTCCATCATTCACTCCGTGGATATGCTGCAATTTTTTATTGTCTGATGCCAGGCGCGCTCAGCGTCCGTGGGCGCGGCCCGACGGGAACCGGCGCGAAATGCGACATGCTGCATTTTGCGCCGATGCGTTACGCAGACAGCACTGCGTCTACCTCTTTTCGTGACTTAGGGACACCAGATGCACTGAAACACGCATGCGTGAAAGCAACGCACCGGGGCGCACGCCTGCGAGTATATGGAAGGACCAGCGCCTGACGTGGCAACGCGAGCGTGACGCGACGAAATGAACGCCAACGAGCACGCGCACCGCGTCACGTCGAAATGTATTGGTGCCTTGCCTGTGGCACGTAGTCATGTTCTCACATGACACGCATCTCATGATCATCATGTTTCCACCAGTCACATATCTTCGTCATCCCTTGACGTCACGTAATACAAAATTTGGCATATGTGAAGCTAGTGAAACGGCCGCGAGCGCATCATCAATGTGGCATGGAGTCATTTTGTTACATGACACGCATCTCAAGCTTATCATGTTCGCCCCACTATCATACCTTCGTCCTCTATTCACGCCCCGTAATACCAAATTCGGTATAAGTGACGCTAGCGAAACGGCCGCGAGCGCATCATGAGCGTGGTATGTAGTCATGTTGTTACGTGACACGCATGTCATGATTTTCATGTTAGGTTCGGTCGCTTGCGTTCGGCATGCAATCATGTCATACCATACCAGTTTTGCAACTTGCCATGTGAATTAAACCACCGCAAGAGCTACAGGACCATTAAATGTAAATAATGCCAATCATGACATACATGTCATGATTTTCACGTTATGACTGGTCACTTATGCTCGTCATACAGTTATGTTATGGCCCACCAAGTTCGGTATCGATACCACAATGAAACGGCCCGGGGAGCCAGAAGTCGCAGGTGGCTAGATAGTGTTACGAAGGCGTGACGCCAACACGGTCCCGAAGGCGCCACTGTTCCGAACTCCACCGCCAAGGCCACCACACGTTTGGTAGCGTGTGTTAGTCAGCTCGCGACTGCTTCTGCACAGAGCTGATAGACGAGCGGACGAGACGACGGTGAATTAAGGCAAGGTTTATGTAAGCATAGAAATAGAGGCATTACATATTTCGGCACTGGGGCCGACAGCTTAGGGACTCGAAGAGCCGAGATGTCTTATCTCGCACGCATACGTCGGCATTCTTCTGGACTCATAGGTCTACTGCTGGCGACGCGCCGCTTGGCTTTTCTTATAGGCACCGAGCAGGGACCTTTTGTGTCACCAACGTCCAACCAGAAGTGCCGCTGGCCGTGATGTCAGAATCTTCCAATGGGGACCCGCAATTGCGCGGCGTCTTGATTATCAAATCTGAAGCCGCTGCGCTTGGTTGCATCCACGGACGAGTGATGTTGCCACTCGTTGCGTAAGACTCGCCAGACTGGAAGGCGCCGATTGCTTCATCGGCTTCAGTGAGCTGAGGGAGCTTGCTGTGCGTTGCGTAAGACAGACCTGCGCCGTCACGTGATGACTTCGTTGAGTTGATCATGTCAGGCGGGCTCGATCGCTGGCCTCGACACACATTGCCTTTGCAGAGGCATTGACGTTCGTTGTGGACTCCCGGATGTAACAATAGATAGATAGATAGATAGATAGATAGATAGATAGATAGATAGATAGATAGATAGATAGATAGACAGATAGATAGATAGATAGATAGATAGATAGATAGATAGATAGATAGATAGATAGATAGATACGCTCAAGGTCACCAAAGTTTGCAAAATAATGCTTCACATTTAAAAAGGGCTCAGACAGGGGGCGTCAAAACTTCTCGATCCTTAGCGCACGTCACTATCCACTAAACCACGAAGCATACATTGGCCAAGCTTCTAACGGTAAGCCATGTATATACGCCATACATCATTGGGCAGTCCTCAGAGCTCGGCAGCTTGAGTGCGCTTTCGTCATCAGTAGTGAGATGGCGCGATGGACTCTAGTTTGGCGGGTTCTGAAGGTCGTCGCACTCGTTCTTCCGTGGAACGTCACCTATTGCGTTCGCATGAGCACCACCTCCACGGAGCGGGGTCTCTCCTGCACGTGCGCTTATCAGACTCGCGATTCGAGAGAGAGCAAAGGCCAGTTGCTTGCTTCCACGGAGGCATTTGCGAAAAGAGCACGCTGTTCACAAACGTAGTAAGAATTGTGACTTTCGCGCTTGTCTTGTGTATACTTGTGCGTTCGGTTCGTGGGTCTCTCTGTTTTGACAGCGTTTTTTTAAGTGTCAAGCTGCGACAGTTGTTATTCCGCACTCGTCCTGCTTATTTCACGCGAGCTTTCTGCTTGTGGTGCGCACTGCAGTTTCGAGCTGCTTGCTGTTCTTCGCGTGACTTCGCAATTTGTTGCTGTAGCATTAATTTGTTTGCCCTTGTTCCGAAACTGCCCCGCCGTGGTGGTCTAGTGGCTAAGCTACTCGGCTGCTGACCCGCAGGTCGCAGGATTGAATCTCAGCTGCGGTGGCTGCATTTCCGATGAAGGTGGAAATGTTGTAGGCCCGTGTGGTCAGATTCGGGTGCACGTTAGAGAATCCCAGGTGGTCGAAATTTCTGGAGCCCTCCACTACAGCGTCTCTCATAATCATATCGTGGTATCGGGGCGTTAAACCCCACAAATCAATCAATCAATCTTGTCTCTAAAAAACCACAATAAACGCTCAACTGCGCCTGTGAACATGGGGTTCACCTTCGCGTTATACCAAGCCGTAGAAAAGTATATCAACCTCGTTTTTTACATCTTTAGTGCCACTTCACAGCTGTATAGGCTCGCCTTTGTTTCTTATATCTAGCTTCATTTGCTACTTATTGTTGCAAAACGTTACTGAAAATGCAGAGTCAAGAAAAAAAAATACGACAGCGAGTGTATTTATTTGCAGGACCACCACACGGTATTCGAGAAAACGTAAAATATAGCTTTCGAGGTGTTAGCGAATACGAGACTCGTTCTGCGTGTGCTCAGTACGCTGCTATCTATCATTGGCTGCTCACTCGCTTCAAAGAAGAAAGCTGAAATTTTGCGTTTTCGGTCACCTGAAAACAGCGAATGTCTGAACACTGCAAAGGCAGCCATGTTCGGTGTTCCTCCCGACACTTTT